GATTTAAGGTATTTTACAGAATAGAAATACTTTATCTGCGATCTTACTGTACGTTCTAATCTTTTATGTATAGGTTGAAGAAGTTGTTTCGTGAAATTAGGTGTATACGTTTTCTTGCCACTTTCGGAAATAATAATAGTTTTTCAAATAATCTGTCTTCACACTAATGTAAATTGTAATTATTAACTCTGAACTTAATATTAATTTATTACATAATTAGAGGACACTGCCAATCGGTATGCTGTAGAAACATGCAATAAGTTGCACGATACAGTCGGCGCCTCGCACTAACACATTGCAACATATCGTGTCCTTGTCATACTTTTTATGTGTTTGAGGTTATGAAAAAAGAAAGACTTGTAGATCGTAGCTGTCGAAGACATCATGTCATACCACTACGATTGTTCAAGCTTTTTTAGCTCAGAAAGTGGTTACAGTCTCGAACCATCCGTGTCCTGTTCACCCCACTTATCAGTGTCACAAAAAAAAAGGATGGCTAGAGGCGTATTTTTATAACAGTACACTTAAACAAAGAATGTCCAAGGATTGAGACATGCCGAAGTGTTAAACCCTACAGTTTGTATTTGGGTGTAGAATACAAAATGTAGTAGGAGTACCCAAACATTTGACCGGTGATGTACACTCACGAGCAAACTCGGCTTCCACTAGGAGAAAACGTGATGTAAGGGAAAGACGTCCTACCACTTGGTCTCGGAATTACTGAAATTTATGCCAAATTCATATTTGGTTTAACATTTATTTCAGTATTTGAAATAAATTTATCAAGCGGTAGGAGACCCTTACCCCTACGTTACTTTTTCTCCTAGCGGAAGCCGAGTTTGCTCGCGGGTGTACCTAAGGAAGACTTTTCCCAAAACATTCAGCGCCTCTATGAACGACGTCAAAACTGTATTCTGTCCAAAAGGGGTCATTTTGAAGGTGAATAAATGTATTTTCTCAAATTGCCAATATAGTTCTTAGTTTCTGGACGATTTATCAAATTTCACTGGCACACCGTGTAGAACATCCGCTTTTTGGCCTCGGATAAAAGTTAGGGAATTACGGCGAACACGACGATACGCAATGTGGGTGAGTGTTCTCGACAATATTCAGCGAAATGTCACTCGCACTTCAATTGTAAGATGATGTTGTTATATCCGGTTAGGAATATTACCTCTTTCCATTGCATATTTTTCTCCTATTACTTCGCAACGCGAAGAGCGAGCGAAAATCGTCAAATCAGCGGCACGTGGAAGCAACGGGCGTGGTTGTCCTTCTTCGAAACGCTGACAGAAACGTCAGCTATCCTAAACTCCGCCTCGACGACTCGAGAATTCCACGACGAACCATAGCTTGTTGCTACCCAATATCTTCCACGTTCTTCGATAAAGGAAGGGGGGAAAACATTATAAAACGATTGCCCTAACCGGGCAAGCTCGCTTGTACCTCTCTTTTTCCTCAGTTAATCTCACGGTTTCGACTCTCGCGTTAGACGGTGCTTCGTCTACTTTTCTTCACGCGTAACGGCGAGCTGAGCGACAGCGGTCACTCAGCTGTTCAGATCGGGTTCCGAGACGATATCTCTTCCGTGTGCGACGCGACTTTGCGATTACGCGCGGCCTAACAGGCGAGTTCGATAAGACACCGGACCGCGAGTGCGACGTCCGAGACGGTGAAAACGTATCCCGCAGTGCCCGATCCCCGCATCACGGCTCCGAGCGCTAGCAAGTATTCCGCCCCTTCAAGGACCCGAAACCCCGACTGAACCAGCCGCAAGCGTTAATCATTCATCATCATTGGTATGTTAAGATTTAATTGTATATTTTATTTTATTCATTGTTAGAATATATCTTGTTGTTGTTACAAACGAGAGTGATTTCCTATCCCTCCCGTTCCATATCCTAATTACGTACATCACCGGTAAGTTTAGACAGGGCGTGTTTTAGCACCTTAAAAGAGCCACGACCCGAAAATATAAATAAAGTAACGACCGCAACGCGGGACGTAACAATGTTGCCCAAAGGAAAAAAGAATGAATTCACACCGCGCAACTGGTTAATAAACTTTATTATAAAGTGAGTGTGTTAACTATAAAATGTTCGAGAGAATCTTATCGATCATATACGTCCGGTGGTTGACGTGAATCTCCCGTTCACAACGCAGGAAAATTCGCTCCACCCGATGAAAACTAAAAAGTGGGGCATTGGGCCCTACCAACGCAAATGCTAGGGCGCTTTCCCAGCCCACGCAACGTCTACAAACCCAAAAGAGGGGATGCGCCAGACAACGTGGAGTCAGAGGAATAACAAGGGTACCGCCAGGATGGCTACACAGAAGACCCTTGCTCCCAAATATCGAACTCCGGGCCTTACGCAATGCGTGGCTAGGTTTACGCTACGTCAAGTGCCATCGATAGCGGTACAGTCAGGTCAACTTTCCCAGGAAGTCTCCTGCCGTACTTGAGTCCTAAGAAATAAATTTAAGAAAAAGGAACCAGTCGACTCTCAAAATAACATTTCTTAATTTACCGTAACATAAATTAAATTACGATGGCCTTAACATAAGCTCGTCTCATCACGCAGCCTACACGTCGCTACATAATATAGCCCGTCCATTCAGGATCGACACAGCTGAATTATGAATGGCGGTCGATAGTTCGAGGGAGGACGTGTGTGTACAGTCCATGCGAGTTCAACGTGGACGTGTGTTAGCGTTACGTGGCCCTCAAAAGAACGGCTTGGAAGACGGAGGGAAAAAGCTATAAACGGAGTTACAGTCGCGTTCATCGGTACCGTAACACACCCTCCGAGTTATCCGCGCAATCTACCCTCCAGGATTCAATTCGCGTTCGTCCCGCCCCTGAAATACTATGTCGATCCTATCTACGGTAATTGTGCGTGAATGATGGTAGCGAGTGAAATTTGCTGGTGTAAATGCCGCGTCGAGCAAAATACCAGGGGGTGGCGATATCTCTGTACGTTTATAGGGTGAGAACTCAATTGCTTATCGAATGGTCTTTCGCTGGTTCGGATTACTGCCCTCCCGAATGGATGTTTCGAAAGTCGACTTAAAGTCGACGGTGACTTTTAACGGTGCGTAATGTTAACGGAATGTTTACTCTTGTCCATAACAAAGCATAATGTCTTTTGATGTTGGAATATGTATGAATCATTCAATTAATCAAGTCTTTAGCAATTGAAACGAACATATTGTTAATATTGGACATTAATCACACAAGATGAAGATACTCTGTAAATTTTTAGAACAAATTTTTTTGGGTAACTGTAATGTACAGGTCAATAAGACTTAATTTAATTACCTCAGTGACTTTCAATTCTTCAAACTAAAATCGAATTCTCTCCTGTAAGATATGTAGATATGTTTCTAACAATATTGAAGAGAATTTTTATACATTTACTGACTTCTGGTTTTGTAAATCCAACCTTGCAATTTAATAATAACCTACAAAAGTGTTAACAATTTTGCTTCATATTGTATAAACCGTCAAATGTCAAAATATTCGTTTCTTTTCAGTAGATAAATTGATTTAATTAATTTAATGGTCATATTTAAAAGTTTATGAATGTCAAGAAAGGCCAGAGTGCTAATCGAAATTAAATTATGTTCTTTCGATCGCAGCCTAGCCATATTAATTTATTTCACGATTATCTACAACTTTAATTATAGGCTAAACATTGATTATCAGTTAAAACACAAAGATAAGTTTAAAATGTTAGATACCAGAGGCATCATATTACAAATTACGAGGAGAAATTCGTATACCTAGTTTACAAATTAACATATAATAGAATTACCAAACAGATTACAGTTGTTGTACGACGCAATATCGCGCAAAATCGCAAGTCGAAAGTATACATATAATTCTTCAAGACAGCGAAAAGAAACTGATCCATTACGTAGCACTGGAAATATTAAACAAAGTGACACTAATGCCATCTCCCTTGAAACATTGGGCTTCAAATTGTGACACGTTTCCTGATGATGAATCTACGTATTAGAAACTATTTTACGCGATAAAATAAAAGTTGAAAATGTTTCACTTGTGGCGTGGCACTTTCCTTACAGAGGATAGATACAATCTATAATACAACATGGCCACCAAATTGGGACAATCGGCCATTTGGCGATTTTGCCTTTTGTTGGACCACTACTGCAATTTGTCATCTGTAAGCAATTCGTGCCGTATGATAGACAATGTGTGTTGCTTATAAGTTACTTCATGCAATCACCACTATCATACACGTATTATTTATCATACAAAGGAACAACCTTCGCTACCCTAGCTGTTGCAATTAGCTTCTATTAATTCTGTATTTGTTGAAATCATAACAATCAAATATAAAATATCTTCATAAAAAAATGAGTATTGACGAAAACTGCAAAATACGTGTCGACTTATTGTTACTCTAGAGTCATCAGAAAAGGTTTCATTAAAATCGAAGACCCAAGGATTGTGACCTCTCCTTGTCAACCAACGTGACATTACACCGCCCCAATTCCTACTTTCCTGAATCAAAGAGTCACGCTCAACGAACTTCTCACGCCTCTCTTCATCACGCCCATGATCTTCGCATCGGTCATTCGCAAGAATCATCATTACCGCGATAACTGTTTCGCTCCGGATCAGCGCTCCCTGACACGTCCCGTAAATAAACCGAGACATCAACGGTTCTGCTCTCTGCTTCCAGTAACGTGGCTGTATCAATCCATCGTCGAGATCCTGAAAGTTACGACCTTGTTATCGACAATACGTTCGCCTAAGATCTCGGTGGAAAGTTTGTCGTTTCTGGTGAAGAAGCTACAGCCTCCGGGTAGGACAGGTACCGAGGGAAGGAGGTGGGTCAGAAGGCGAAGCCAGGCCAGGTGCCTAGCTATCAGGAAGGCCTAGCATCTGACTGTTACGAGGGATTTGGCGAGAGGGTGACGGGCAACAGCACCTAAGGGCGGGTGGGGGGGATGCAGCTCGAAAGGGTGGCGGCATGGAGGAGCCCTCGCTGGAGGCTCTCATGCAGGCGGGCTTCATCTTCGTGGTCGGCGTCGCCATCATCCTCTCGAATCTCCTCATCATCGCCACCTACCTTAATTTCCGTGGTGAGTACCTACTCTAAAATAACGCGAATCACCTGCTCGAATTAAGGATAGAAAGTAATTAATTACGAAATAAGATTACCAGCGGCGATCTAGAAATCAAATGTTCGGTTAAAAAGGTTGCTAAATAACAATCGAAATAGCAATGATAATGATATAATTGAATTGAATATGAATTACTCAGTTTAATGGTAATGAGTAGACTGCAAAAGTTTATGGAAATACAGTATTCCGATACCAATATTAACACTAGGTTTACGGGCATTTATCGTGTAGATATCTCCACGGCACGCATCAACGAACCCGCAGATTTTCTTTAAAAAACAACTTATTTTATATAATACACAATTTATGATCTCTGAAATTAATGCATAGCTATAGAAATACGTATACCACATAGAGAATTTCGAGGTTAGAAGGCATTCGAAATGCGTCAAAATGACGCGTCCCGTAAACCTAGTGTTAAAAATTAAAATGGAGCAAAATGTTGATCTCTGTAGGGACTAGACATTTCGCTACATTCGTAATAACACATACCTAGTCTTACAATTCATTAAAATTTTTATCCTATTGCATTTTCCAAGTTAAGAGGTACGGCAAACGCATAAACTAAACACTCGTGGTCTAGTAAGAAAGCACGTGTTGTAGATTTATGTTAATTACAAAATATTTTGGATTGACGTAAATTTAAGGAAGGGAAACTTAAGTAACTTATGAGTTCATTTAATAAATCATGCCGTTACCCCTATACTTATGTCTATTTCACTGGCGACACCAGAAATGAGAAGAAATAATTGATTTAACACGAGAACTACCAGGGCTGAATGTACACTAAAATATCATAAATAATACACTATGACTATAACATAATATAGTATACTATAAAGAGTATTTGAAATTAACACTAGAACTACTAGCATCGAATGAGTACTGAGTTACATTGTATAATATAGTAATATACATAACATTCAGTACAGTTTAGTATAATATAGTACAACATAAAATGTTTTATAAATTAGAAACCAATATAAATTCCACCAAAAGAAATACATATTTGAAATTCAGTAATCGTAAACTAAGAAATCTGCAATCCGTCATTTTGACGGGTTTGGTAATTCTAGTGTTAAGGGTCAACGTAAAGTAAAATAAGAAATGTGAAGTCCATCCTTTTAGTAGTTCTGGTGTTAATTATCCGGTTTACGCATATTTTCGTGTATGCAATGTCTCATGTTTCATTAAAATGATAATTAAAGCATTATAGAATTGTTACTGTTATGTACAATAAAAGGATATGAATAAAACTTCCTGTAAATTAAGTTGAAAATAAACCGTGTATATCAGGTTCATATTTCCTTTCAGTGCATAATTTATTTATATTTCGAGTCATTTTCTAAAAATATTAACTTCAAATCCGAAGAACATGTATCACGCTACTTTTGGCGACAGAGTAGATAATTAATATAATCGATAAAGTATTGAAAATATAGAAAATTATCAATAAAGTTAACACATTAATATTCATATAGTAAATATACCAATAAAGTTAAAGCAATTATTACGTTCAATAACAATTTTAGTTTCCATTTAACTGAATAATCACAGACAATTAACAGAGATTTCGTTTTTTTTCTAAATTGATCTGTGACAATAAGAATTTCCAGAAACCTAAACTATTTATCGATAAACTTCGTATTAAAATAATATTTCCTAAATTAAACTAAAATCATAAAACTGCTGAACATTTAGTTCCTCCAAATAATTCGCTTGTTGCTTCTAATAATTTCATGTTTTCCATCTTTTATGGCAGTGTGTTACTGTTTTTATTTTACCAGAGCACTTACTCACAGTGATCCAGAATCAAAATTTAGTAACTCAAGTGGTTACATCAACTTATTATTAACAATGGGATTTTTTACTCATGCGGTAATTTTCTCTTCAGACCCTTTCGTATCATCAAACACACACAAAAATATAAAAAAATTTCTAAAAATTCAAACTTTCATGACGGTGTTAAGAACACTGTTAGTAAATGATGGCGTCATTGAAGGAAATCCTCAAAGTTAATAAAAATTGAATCATTAGCCTACTCAAATAAAATTATAAGTTTCGAAATGTTTTATTGCTTGAGCTAAATAAGCGTATGACCTGCTATATTTTCATTCTGGACCACTGTGTGACTAAGATGAGGTAACAAGGGTAACACGAAGCTCCACGGAACTTAAGCTTTCATAGACTATCTGAAGCAACTATAAACTATTATTACGCTGTGTAGGTCCCTCCGAGGTGATAAACTATTACTTGCTATCTCTCGCATCGGCGGACCTTCTTTGCGGTCTGCTAGTGGTTCCGCTCTCGGTGTACCCGGCGCTTGTACGAAGATGGGTCTATGGGGACATCGTGTGTCGTCTCGTTGGTTATTTGGAAGTTACTCTCTGGGCGGTATCCGTCTACACTTTCATGTGGATCTCCGTGGATCGTTACTTGGCCATCAGGTACGTTCGTATATCGTATCAATACTGTACCAGCCTCATATGATTACGGTGGGTGATCAAATAGTTAGAACCACACTACGAAATATGTGTTTTTCTTGTGTCTGTGTAGAAATAACATCCCAATATCAGGGTTTTTACACTGAATAATTTTTATTAACATATTTCGATTAAAAATACACAGAAAGTAAACTTAGCATGTACAATTACGAAAATTTAATGCTATATGAAATTACATACCCAATGCAATTGAGAAGGGTCTTCAGGTAGATGCTATCTATATTGATTTTTGCAAAGCGTTTTACTCAGTGTGTCCTTCTATACTCCTATCGAAATTACGTGCTAAAGGCATATCCAGCAAGTTTTTATTGTGGCTGTACAGCTTTATCACTCGCAAATCTCAGATTATTAGATTTAATAACTCCTTTTGCTAGTATTGTTAATGTCAATTCCGGTGTTCCCCGGGGATCTCACCTTGAACCTTTACTTTTTAATCCTTACAGTACACTATTTATACAATCGGACTTTCGTAACCTAGAATAGTGATGTGTGCGAAATAAATTAGCTCTCAATTTATCTAAATGCTCTATTATTCGTTTCTCACATGCAAAAAACAATACACTCTTTAATTATACTCTCAATAACTCCTTTTTATCTACAGTTAATGATATTTGTGACCTGGGCATCACATTTTCGTCAAACCTCTCCTTTACTAGACACATCATCAATATCACTAGCATTGCATTCATAACTTTGGGTTTCCTTAATAGAGCCTCCAGATATTTTAAGAATATGAACACAGTTGGAATACAGTTCCGCTATCTGCTCTCCATACCAGCGTTACTTTTGTAATATGTTGGAAAATACACAGTATCCATTTTTGCGTTTAGCTGCCCATCGAATAGGTCATCCAATGTGGATTTACGGTATAAGGTGCCTAATGGCTTCGTCATGTGTCCTGATATCTTGTCTTGTTCTAAGTTAGTTACATCAGCGGCATCAAGAAGAAATCATGTTCTACTACTGCAAGAGGCCCACCGCACGAATTATGGCCAATATACCCAGTCAGCCAAACTTGCAATACCAAATTTTGTCCAGTGCCTGTTATAAAGTTATGGCTACAACACCTTGCGCGCATATTGGCAGCAACATCGATTTTGCCCTCAATTTGGCATGGGTCATATTGCATGACTTCCGTTAAAAGTCAAATTCACAATGCTTTACGTTAATTTATTGTTGAAGGTTTTTCTTCATTCATACGTTATCCGAAATTTTTACCGGTACGGATTTTGCCTAATCTTATCCCATAAAAATGACATAGATGCAATGAATTATCCAAGAATATGGTCTGAAATTATAAAAATACTTCATGAGTATCGCGCGTGATCGATATTTACTGACGTATACATAGTGCCTATTATTCTATCTACTTCAACAACCTAATATACATGTTTTCACTCTCCACTCCTACCTCCTTTAAACAGGCTACCTATCTAAGTCCTCTATCCTTTCATATCTTGATTATCTGATACGTATTAATTGTGTACGATTATTTCTCATATATTCTTCATATGTACCTTGGGTATCTACCGCTAAACTGTATTTATTACATTATTTCCATTTTGATTTCAAAAACAATTTAATATTCTTTTACATTTGGATCAGATATAACAACAGTTAACCTGAACTTCACATTTATAACATTATTTTTATCCTTTTATTATGTTATTCTAATAGAGTAAGATTATTATTATATTATACAGAGCGAGGCGTATAAACAATGCGACCTGAATAACTCGTCTGATTTTTGCAATAGACAACAAATACATCAAACTAATCTTGTTTGACGTCAAGGGGCACATAAACTAGTGTCAATAGTTTTCTTCTACAGGGTGTTTCGTTTAACTGGAAACGGTGGAATATCTCACGAAGGATTAAAATTATCAAAAAAATGTTCGTACAAAAGTTGTTTGGTACAAAGGGTGACATTATGTGGTATAAATAATTTTTCTATATGTAGTAGTGGGGAAGATATCAAAGTCAAGTTAATTTGTTTAAATGGAACCCTGTATTTTTTTATTCATATTATGATAGTGTTTGTTGAGACGAATACAACGAACTGCCGCATGATATCATTCCGAGTTGTAAAATATCATAAATTAAATACAAAGTAGTCAGATCAACACGGATCGTATGTCGTAGGTCAGCTGAGCTCTACGTGACTGTGCCATCTAGTCGTACCAGGCCGATTGTTGCGTTTTTAATAAAATAGTCCTGGTATGGAAACAACACCAATATTGTAGCAAATATGAGGAGTTAAGCATACATAATGGATTTTAAATATCACTTACCACTATCTAACTTGTAGTATCAAGAATTAATTAATAATTTTTTACGTCATTTATCCTTCATTATGCTCACCATCGTTACAAATACACGTTTCTATTCTGTTTAAAAATTCTCTTTCAACACTTTTCAACATCTTGTCCGTTATTCTTTCGCATGCGACTATAATCCTGTTTCGTAAATCATCTTAAAATCTTACTAATTTATCACTTCCTACTACAGGGAATGATATCATGTGGCAGTTCATTATTTATTTCTCAACAAACACTATCATAATATAAATAAAAAAATACAGGGTTCCATTTAAAAAAATTAACTTGACTTTGATATCTCCCCCACTACTACACTTATAGAAAAATTATTTATACCACGTAATGTCCCCCTTTGTACCAAACAACTTTTGTACGAACATTTTTTTGATAACTTTAATCCTTCGTGAGATATTCCACCGTTTCCAGTTAAATGAAACACCCTGTAGATGAAAGTATAGAGAACATACGAAGATCAAATTCATTTTGTATGGAATCATATATTTTTTATGCATTAAACGATGCGGATCGTAAATTCCCGATAAAAAAACAAGCTATTTATACCCAAAAGACTACTTAGTTTGGGAGATATTTTAATTTCAATATTTTGAAGTGAAGCTCGATTTCGGTATAAGTAGTACACGTGATATCTAACATCTTATGCTTAGCGACTCGTTGAAATAATCTATTTTCCATCGTAGTTGACCTTCGACATACTTGAATGACCTTTAACCATTGATCATGGTATGCGTCTTAAAACGCTCGATTAAAAAGTAAGTAGAAAAAGGTATCATTCTATTTAAGGGTACCCTCCGGTCAAAACGCTCGAAAAGTACGTGATTTTCATGAATTCACATAAAAACAATGGAACAACATATGATAAAAATCCGTCTTGATTCTTATTACTACATATTTGAAGAATAAAGAAAAATTTTGTTGTTTGAATTTGGTCACTATTTGCATCAAATATATAGCACTCATTGCACTCCTGTAGAAATTCTAAGTCTTGCCGGGCGCCATCAGAATTCACGATAGGATTGCCTTAAGTCAAAAAATCAAAAGTATTTTTAAAATATATCTTAATGGATATCGTCTTACCTATTCTTAATCCAAAAGAACAATCCGTCGATCCCTGACATGTGTTTAAACAGAATGTTGCAAAAAAACGGATATTTTTACGCATTCTCCATCAAAAAAGTGAATGATCTACAGTTAATCTCCGTAGGTAACGCGATAGCGACGTGAATTATAAATAAAATGTCGCAAGAATTTTTGAAGTCAGTCTATAATTAAAGTTTTTATCGTGGCGCCCGTGGAAAAAAATCACGTTTTGAGAAAAAACGCATTTAAAGTTTTTTTTTTCATTTTTAAGTTAATTTGCTTTAGTTTTTTTGTATATAACCAACATAGATCTTCGATATGTATTTATTAAATTTTCATTATAGCCTCAGATTAAAAAGTTGTAAAAAACAACCTTTACTATTTTCTTCGCGATTGGGACCAATTGCAACTCTTTGAAACTTTTTTTTACACATCATTTAGTAAACCAATGTCTCTAACCTCATAAAATAACTCAAGTCATTTAGACCATCTTTAAAAAAGTTGTTCCGTTTTAAAGGGTGTACGAATACTTTTGACACCGACTGTATATCTCGAAAAGGAAGAGTTTCCGGACCTATGTTTATATGACACTTTTTCATCCTTAGGAGCCATCTATTCCCTTGACACCCTATATATTCTGGCAGAGAATTACAAGCTGTATAAAACCCAGAACACTAAGGTTTTAAGTTGATATTAAGAAACAATCAAAATAAAAAAATACCCAAAAAATGGTAGCTTTGTTGTCCGTTATTGTACGAAGTCTTACATATTTTTATCTACTTTCTCGAATAATACACCACGCGGAATTGCGTGGTGTATTATTGCAACCAACTTTCAAGCACTTTCTCGATAACCCTACAGCTTCGTAAGTATTTAAAGAATAATTAACTAATTTCGTTCCACAGAAAACCATTGCGTTACGAGACCGTGCAAACGAAAACGCGATGCCAATGCTGGATGGTGTTCACGTGGATCAGCGTGGCGATGATGTGTTGCCCGCCTCTACTCGGTTTCCAAAAGCCGATTTTCGATCGCGAGGCGTTCATCTGTATGCTCGACTGGGGCAACATGGCCGCGTACACAATCACACTGTCGATCCTCGTGCTGGGCCCGTCGGTCATCACCATCATCTACACTTACTGCTACATCTTCACAATGATGAGGCGATTACGGTCCGGTGTACTGATCCACGACAAAGAGTACGCGACAGCGCTCTCGGAGAACTTGAGCAACCCGAGTCACATCATGTCTTTTGTCCTGGTGATGACGTTCTGGTTGTCCTGGGCACCGATGGCCGGTCTACGGATATACGCTGTCGTTAACGGACCACCTCAGGTAAACCGAACGAACCGTTTTCGGAAATGGTTTCATTAACCTTTTCACTGCTACATTCGGTAAATATTTACAGTGAGGGCGCCACCTCCGATTTCGAGAATTTTTCAATATGTTGTCAAGGTCATCACCCTAAGCAGTGTTGTGAAGGTTTTAGTTGGGGCTTGCAATTTCTGAAAAATTTATTATCAAAAAACGTTTAGATAGATAATTATTTTGAAGTTTGGCCTTTTCAACCATTATCGGTGCGCTGAAGACCCCCTTTTCAATTATAATCAGTCTCAGATACACCACTTCAAGCAGAAACCCGTCTATTGTTTTGATACTTTTTACTTTGTTTTCTTGAACTGTTTCTAATCAACTCCGATCAGTATAATGCTTCAGAGTTGGTCAGACTATACTTTCTTATGAAATGTTTTGTTTTTATGATATTTCCATGTGTCAACTTAAATGCCGCACCCTGTATATTTCTTTAAATGGTCTATCACTATCGATGATGAATATTTAGCTTCTTAGCGATTTCACGTGAGGAATTATGCCAATCGTCTTAACATTTTTTGGCTATACGATTAGTGTCAACCTCGATAATAACATTTTTTAAATGTCTATATTTAAAGCGACGGAACCAGTAGTTTGTAAAGAATATCGATCCATATCCATAACAAATTTTTTCACAAGATTTCGTAGCATTTGTCCCTTTCTCGAAATAAAAAAGCAATATATACCACAAAATACTCATTCGAATTAATATTAACACTTGACTGACTTATAATGTTTTACATAAATTTCATTTATTATTACTGTAAACAATTGCCTGAAATCTGAGATTTCTAACGACACAAAACACTTATGTGCAATAGGTTAGAAACAGTTGACAATCATGTGACAATACACGTGACCTCAGAAAGGTTTACGACTTATTCAACAACCCAATATATTCAGAGTGTAAACGTTTCGAGGGTATCTCCAGAACTCACATTCCCTCTTTGCATCGTTATCTTCAGGTACCGTTTCTTCACTTTGCGGTGGTGTGGCTAGGAGTGACGAACAGTTTCTGGAAAGCGGTGGTCCTCGCAACCCTGAGTCCCCAGTTTCGGTTGGCAGCTCGTGTTCTCTGTCTGACGCTCTGCTGCCGGCATAGACGACTTCCACCGGAGCTGCTCGGCCTCGACGACGACGATTAAGAAGCCAAACAAAGAAAAAAAAGCAACAACTAAACAAGCAAAAAAAAAAATTAACCCGCCTACCGAGAACCGGAGGAAAAAACTCTTTTCCATTGCGCGCGCGAGCGTTTACTACACGCGCCTCTCATTCCTAGAGCATTCGCTTTTTATCTCGGTTCGAGGTCGTCACTAGCATCCGCCGCCGCCGTTCCTCTTGGATTCTTCTTCGAGGGGCTGAGACTGAGATTCTTTGTTCTGAAACAAACCCGCTACGAACACGACGTTCCGCTTTCTTGGCTGTGTTACACATGACTATCAACCGGATCGATCGCCATCGCAATGTGAAACGAGGTAAAGAAAAAAAACAGTTCCAAGAGAAACACGATGCGTGAGGGCCGATATCTATTTGTCGCGTATCCTCGTATCGTATCACTGTTGCTGCGTATCGACGGGTACGATCGGTCATTTGTCAGTTGTTTCGACATTACATCAATGGAAAGACATGAGATTTGGCGGAGCCAGTGTGGACGGACAGCGTTACGGTGCACAGTGAGGTATTTGACCAGAAAAGCTGGCCAAAACCCCAAATTTTTTCGTTGTTCAAAATGAATAAAACTTTGTCCCTATGTTCCTAGGAATGAATAAAAGTAAACTGCTATCTTGGTTTTTCGAAAACAGAAGTATTTAGCAACAAATTGAGGCTTGAAAGACAACAATTTTTATGCTCGAAGAAAATGCCAAGAAACCTATATTCAGAAAGTGATTTATTACAAGTGTAGTGTTAAGGAAGTGCAATAACAACATATGTAGGATATAGAGGAAGGTATGTAGAGTAATTTGGCACCTTTTTTCCTTCACTTTTTTGTGTGGTTTTGATAAAATAACAATTTAAAAACAGTGTTTTTTTTCGTAAAATCAAGTTTAAAGCATTGAATTACTGTTTTACACCCCAAAGCACCCTTTTACTTTTGATATATTTTTATCCTTGGGCATTGCTTTATATATTTCTTGAAACATTAGGTGCTAAGTGGTGCGAAAATTACAGTTCTGTTCAAGAGTATCTCCTCACTTGTGCACTAGTGAAACATTATTGAGATTCAATGTTCCATAACTTTGTTAGTAATCGTCAGAATTTGTTTAAATGATAGGAAAATTAAAGCTTGAACCTTCTACATTTTTACACTTTCATTCGATTTTATTTAACTCGGTGCCCAAGACGTAAAATCTTCCCTTAGAAAGAGGGCCTTTAAATTGTAAAATTTTATTCATATTTGAGAACGGATGTTCCTCATAGACAACAGTGTTCAGAATTTTGCATATATTTCAGAAATAATGATTCTTTGCCTTCAAAACAAGCCAAACTGCATCTAAAGCGGATGTTTTTTAACGAAGTTATAGTCATTTACAGAAACGCAGACCATTAAACGGTGCCATGCACGAAAGACATGAAACCATAAAGAGGTAGGCGTTTCTGTAAATGGCTATAACTTCATTAAAAAACCTCCGTTTGGGATGCAGTTTAGCTTGTTATGAAGGCAAAGGATCATACGATAGGCGTATATTGTATGGTTGATCTGATGATGGGGTAATTGAGGTGTGGATGATAGATCGATGAAGGACAGATATATCATAAGCAAGAAATACTGTCTGATGAAGAATTTTGCACAGCATTTTCTGACAAAAATTAATTCTATTATATAATGCAAATAAAAAATATTCTTAAAATGTATATTATTTTATATATTATATACCATAAATCAGAATGTTTATAATCGTAGATACAATCGACCCGCGTGCATCCATCACTGTCAGTTGATTGTTAACCTATTAAATAAATTTCGTCTGTCAATTCCTGACGATTGAAGTTTCTAGTATATTATTAATTTTATTAAGACTAGGGTTCGTTGATGACCTTCTATTATATATATGTAGTATTACCATATATGTATGTATACATATCTTACCGTACACAAAACATTTGAAAAATATAGGTTCTCTTTAAAAAGCTGCATCTTCGTTAAACAACATAGTTCTTCGATGAGGTTCGGTTTATTTCAAAGACAAACAATCATACTTTTCGGTGGTATATATCAAAATTGCAAAAAAATGTTGTTTGCACTCCGTAGCACTCGACGAACATCAAGGAACAGTACAGTTTGGCACACTCCTGTCGAAGGGTGAATTTTACCCTCTAGACAACCATTTTGATAAAATTGATTTAAAGAACCAAAAACTAGAAAGTTCAAACTTTAAAATGGTTTTTGTTTCATCAACTTTGGATGAATAGTAACAAAGCTATGAGATTTTGAAGATTGAGTAAATTTTAAAATAGTTTTGGCCAGCTTTTCGGGTCAAATACCCCACTGTGCGTTGTTTCGTTGAACGCTCATTCCTGCCGTGTTACTGAAACTGAGACCCTATTTCTTGCGACAGATTGTATCCTCTGTTTTGATACGGACATGCAATGATGATACGGACATAAATCACACACTGTTGCACCGTATCGTATCGCTGAATGATACGCAACAGCGATACGATACACGAGTACACGCAACAAGTGGATACCCACCTTAAAAGATGGTCGCGCGCTCGTCGGCGGAACTAACCCGGCTGGGAGGATTCTTACGATCGCCATTGAGAAAATTTCTACTAGATTCTCGCCGTTAGCCGATTATACAAACGCTTCGAGTATCTCACCGTTCTACGCGAGCCTCGCTTCGATAATATAAACGATTTTATAGAGGGTAGCCGACGCGTTCCTTGCCGAGCGAGAGATCAATCCTGGGGCTGCTGCTGCTACTGTTGCTGCTGCTGCTCGGCCGAGTACAATAAATATTCTCCTAATCAACGAGACGAATCGAACGTCAATGATAATACACAGTGGCTAACAAAGACTAGAAATCCAAAGGATCGTTCTTGGTTCTCCGCATCGTCGAACCCGTCGACGCATGGCCGTTAGAGTACAGCCGCGAAAAATGGAAACGAAACCGCAAGAAGACACCATAGAATCACAGGGCCCTGGTCTCTCTAGTCAGGTTCCACGTTCGTTGCTTCTTTAAATGATAATTCAGATCACTTAAGCGTGTAAACGTAAGGGTTATTCCTTTTTCTATACGATTTCAAACTAAATGTAGTCGATTATTATACACAAACACGTCTGCAGTCTATTATTAAAACGCTATTATTAATACAGAGTCGGTGAACGAACGGGAAGAAAAGAATTGAGGCTCGTGGAATCGATGAGATTCCTATGCCTCGGGGACGGGACAGCCTTTCGAGCCGTTGGCAGTAGCTGGACTACATATGTTCATGCAAATTGACAGTTTTTGACGTTAATTTCTAAACATTAAATTGAGATAGAACTTGATTCATTGTGTTAGATGATTTATTATATTGATCATAATATGCAGGGTGTCTCAAAAGTGTCTAAATATTCTGGAAGCATATAACAAGAATCGAGTTTTATTGATAAAATGTTAAGGTTAACAATTGAGAAGTTCACTTTTTAAAATCTACATCATTTATATGCCTTCCGCCATGTACTAGATATTTTTCAAAACGCGAATATAAATTTATGAACGCATCAATCGAAAAAGAGAAATTTCCTCCTGGATATTGGTTTTGAATTCTTCTATTATTGCTTTTGAATTTTTATATACCCTGCTCTCAAAATATCCCGGAGATAAATCTGGGCTTCTTGGGGGCCAGTAAAAGTCTGTAGGTTCTCCCCTAACCCCCACCGCCGTTTCTGTGGCGCGTAATTCAAACTTAAAACGTTTAATAACTTCTGAGACACCCTGTATCTTTGTTACGATTCACTGATATCCTTATTTTACTGCGCTTCGCATATTAAAATTTTGCCCTAAATGCATGAACATCCTCCATCTAGTGATTGCTCTCGAGGAATCAACTGTCGTGCTCGCTAACGCTCGTCAGGTGACGTCTCCGATCTCGTTTCGCTATTAAAAATCACGTAAGGATCGCTCATATCCGATCCATCGGGGACACGACGACGGCTATTGGTTACTTTTTTTTCAGTTTCATTTATCATTTCTCGCTTTTCTCTCTTCGTGTGACGAGACCGGCCGCAGCTCCCCGGAAACAGAGATTCTGCGCGACGCGTGTACGCGGACTCTTGACCGTTTGCCTATCTATACGTCGTAAGATCACCGCTCAATAAATGTCGTAGCGTACGAAAAAACGAGCAAATTCGCCAATTTATTGTCGCCGCGCTAAAGGAACCGGAACAGAGAGCTGCTTCGTTCCCAGCGAAACTAATCAATTACGAAAAGCAAAAAGAATACGGGAAGCTGATACACACAGAGCTGAAAATAATGAAGAAAAAAACGGAAAAAAAATATAAGAGAACACTAGGTCAATTATCGGAGATGCCTCTACGAATCGCGACGCCGCGTCGATCAGCGTGCCTGTAGATCGCCAACGGATATACATGTATCATGGAAGGGGATCGGATTCTGCAGAGTCACGCATTTTTTAACGCGCTTATTACTCCATTTGGCGACGCGATCGGCGCCCCTTCCACCCCCAAGCTCCTTCTCACTCTCTCTCTCTCTCTCTCTCTCTCTCTCTCTCTCTCTCTCTCTCTCTCTCTCTTTCTCTTTTTCCTTCTCTTGTACCTTTTTCAAAATCAACAATCGAAAATATGTACCTGTAATTGTAAGGCGAAACGATGTAAGCAGTATTTTCAAAAAATTTGAGGTTATGCATTAGCACTCCGTGACCCCTGTTATTATTACTGCTTTCTTCAACTGGACCTTTTATGTCCAACCCTATTTTTTTTTGTCTTATACTTAGGCTTCCAAAAAATCTGAAAAAATTCAGGGATACTCCTCAGGGTCTCTACTACCCTTCTGTTGTCACCTTTTTCAAACGTAGCTGTCACACTGGGTCAATTCCACCCAAGCCAATATTCAATCAACTGCTGTTCAAAAACTATTTGTTACATTAAGTCGCACAAAATTCTGAAATGGACTTTGAACATTAGAGATTATTCTTTCATGATTAAAAAGTGATATTAGAAAATTCATCATGTTTAAATAAATTCTTGAAGAAAGAAGAACAAAGTTGTGAACAAGAGTTTTTGTAGGATACCTGAAATTACGACTACGCCTCAACGACGCCTCCAAAATATTTTACTTGAAAGTGAAATTCTGGGTTAATTTAACCCAGCGCGACAACAGAGGTCTATATGATTTAATAGTTTTTACAAATTGGCAAAATAGTGTATCTATATCTGCTATATTTTTGTATATTAATATATCGTAAGGAGGAAGATAAGGAACATTGGCGATAAGAAAATTAGTATTCAAAACTATACACGGCAATATTTCGAAAGTGAAAGCATGTGACTTATGTCTAATTGCCTTACAACTATAGATACGTACTTAAACCTTGGGGTCTTCAGGAAAACCGTGATGACAGGCGCGGTTCGATTTTTTTACTGGCATCAGAATTCTCTGTTACGACGAAGATTTACTTCTGAGAATTATTTATTATTTGTCAAAATCTATGTACACCG